CTGCAGCCACATGGATGCTCCTTCAGAGGTGGGTGCATCCCAGTGAGCAGGAGCTGGTTTTATACCCTGGGAGCAGCCAGAGCCGGCAGCCAGGAAGCCATGTGTGATGGGCTGATAGTGCTAATCACAGGGCAGCAGCAGCCCTGTGTGCCGGGGGCACTGATAGAGCAGCACACAAGGACCAGGGGCATCCTGAAGCCTCAGGGATGCTGCTCAGGTTGGGGATCTCTTCTTCCCTGCAGGCAGATGGCATCCACCAGGTCCCAATGGGGTCCTCGAGCTCTGGCCACCAGCCTGGCTTCTGCTGTGCCTTTGGGAGCTCACAGCATTCCTGGTTTGTGGATGCTGCGAGCCCCTGGGATGATGCTGCCACCCGTGCCCATTGCAGCAGAGGGGAGAAGGGGGAAGCCTTCAGGCCTCTTTGTGCCACTGCTGCATCCTCAATGGGGGACATCCTCAACCGAACCCTTTGGGAGCCTTTGCCTGCCCCACTCTGGATGCTCTGCCCCAGGGTCGCTGCCATTGCCGCTTCCCCTTGCCCTGGGTAATGTGGGATGTGTTTAAAGGCTCAGCTGAGCACCAATCCTGCTGCACTTGTCCCACCTGGTGCTCCTGAGCAAAGCCACCATTGAGCTGCCCCTGTTCCATAGCAGCGACCGAATCCTTGTGCCACGGCCCTGGGGTCAGGACATCCACGTTGCTTCCAGCCCTGGTGGCTGCTCTTTGGGTTCCATCGCGATGCTCTTGTGATGGGCACGGTGCCTGAGGAGCTGCCTGACTCCAGGGCCAGGTTCTGCAGCAGACAACAGAAACCAGACAGCGGTTCCGTGCCCCTAAACCGCTCGGTATTGTTATGTACAACCAACAGAAGGAGGAGAAGCAGGAGGCGGAGGAAGTGGTGTGCGGGACACGAACTGATGCTCTCTGCGTGATGCAGCAGCACTGGCATCACTGCAGCAGCACTGGCATCACTGCAGCAGCACCGGCATCGCTGCAGCAGCACTGGCATCACTGCAGCAGCACTGCAATCACTGCAGCAGCACTGGCGATCACTGCAGCAGCACTGGCGATCACTGCAGCAGCACTGGCGATCACTGCAGCAGCACTGGTGATCACTGCAGCATTGGCATCACTGCAGCATCACTGGCAATCACTGCAGCAGCACTGGCGATCACTGCAGCATCACTGGCAATCACTGCAGCAGCACCGGCATCACTGCAGCAGCACTGGCAATCACTGCAGCATCACTGGCATCACTGCAGCAGCACTGGCAATCACTGCAGCATCACTGGCATCACTGCAGCAGCACTGGCAATCACTGCAGCAGCACTGGCAATCACTGCAGCAGCACTGGCATCACTGCAGCAGCACTGGCAATCACTGCAGCAGCACTGGCGATCACTGCAGCAGCACTGGCGATCACTGCAGCAGCACTGGCAATCACTGCAGCAGCACTGGCATCACTGCAGCAGCACTGGCAATCACTGCAGCAGCACTGGCATCACTGCAGCAGCACCGGCATCACTGCAGCAGCACTGGCAATCACTGCAGCAGCACTGGCGATCACTGCAGCAGCACTGGCGATCACTGCAGCAGCACTGGCGATCACTGCAGCAGCACTGGCATCACTGCAGCAGCACTGGCATCACTGCAGCAGCACTGGCAATCACTGCAGCAGCACTGGCGATCACTGCAGCAGCACTGGCGATCACTGCAGCAGCACTGGCATCACTGCAGCAGCACTGGCATCACTGCAGCAGCACCGGCATCACTGCAGCAGCACTGGCAATCACTGCAGCAGCACCGGCATCACTGCAGCAGCACCGGCATCACTGCAGCAGCACCGGCATCACTGCAGCAGCACCGGCATCACTGCAGCAGCACCGGCATCACTGCAGCAGCACTGCAATCACTGCAGCAGCACTGGCAATCACTGCAGCATCACTGCAGCATCACTGCAGCATCACTGCAGCATCACTGCAGCATCACTGGCATCGCTGCTGCCACCGCCACATGCGGTGCCCCTGCACAGGGGAGGTGCTGGGCTCGGGTTGGTTTCCTCTGGCACCACACCCGGGGTCCCCACCACGGCCCCCCCCTCTGATTACCCAGAGCCCATTTCCTGGGCGAGGGCTGGTTCCAATCTCACATCCCCACATGAACTTGTCCAGCTCTGGGGCAGCAGCACAAGAGGGACCTGGAGCTGTTGGAGAGAGGCCAGAGGAGGCCATGGAGCTGCTGCGAGGGCTGGAGCAGCTCTGCTCTGGAGCCAGGCTGAGAGAGCTGGGCTGGGGCAGCCTGGAGAAGAGAAGGCTCCTGAAGGGGAGACCTGAGAGCAGCTCCAGTGCCTAAAGGGGCTGCAGGAAAGCTGGAGAGGGGCTTGGGACAAGGGCCTGTAGGGACAGGCCAAGGGGAATGGCTTGAACCTGCCCGAGGGGAGACTGAGCTGAGCTCTTAGGCAGAAGCTCTTCCCTGTGAGGGTGCTGAGGCGCTGGCACAGGGTGCCCAGAGAAGCTGTGGCTGCCCCATCCCTGGCAGTGCTCAAGGCCAGGTTGGACACAGGGGCTTGGAGCAAGCTGCTCCAGTGGAAGGGGTCCCTGCTTGTGGCAGGGGTTGGAGCTGGAGGAGTTTTAAGGTCCCTTCAACCCAACCCAGGCTGGGATTCTGTGATCTATGAAATGAAACCACCCCAGTGCCAGGATGGGTTTTAAACCAACCCAACTCCACCCTTCCTGGGGCACAACAACATCCACCATCGGTGCAGGGATGCTTCAGCTGAGCTTGGGGCTGCACAGCGGGGCCAGGGTGGGGTGGGAGCCCTGTGGGACAAGGGATGGGGCTGCCCTGGTCCATGAGCCCCCAGGCAGAGCCACATGGGAGCTCTGTTTAATCAGGATGAACAGACAAGCTCTAATCGGGCCTGAGCAGCAGCAGAGCAGGAAACCCTCAAACAAGTCATCAATGTGTTATCTCCTCTTGGTAGCTGCTGCTTTTGTCCTCCATATCTGTTCATGGTCCCCACGGTCCAGAGCCAGATGGGAGGGATGGGATGCTCCAGGTTCTTCTCCGGCTGTCCTGGTCTGCAGCCCAATGCTTCCCTATGGACACAAGGTGCTTTTTCCTCCCCGTTGGCAGGATCCTGCATTGGAGGGTTCCAGGTTTGTGCTGTCTCAGCACCCAGGCTCCCCCCCTCTGCCTCCTGTGGTCCCCCCAAGCCCAGGGCTCAGCACTATCAGGGTCCTGATCTGAGGGCGAGCACTGTCCTTCCCCTGCCCCTGCATCTCAGAGGAAGAGCATCTCAACTGAAAGAGCAGCAGAGGAGAAGCACCAAGATCTGTGTCTGTGCAGATAGGGATGGGCAGGGAGCTGCTGCTCGACAACAGGAACCCCCTCCTGTGGCTGAGGGCACCTCGGGTTTGATGGGAGCAGTGGTGGCCAAGGCCAGGTTGGACACAGGGGCTCGGAGCATCCTGCTCTAGCGGAAGATGGCACCAGGGGTTGGAGCTGGATGAGCTTTGAGCTCCCTTCCACCCAACCCAGGCTGGGGTTCTCTGCTTTGCCCCCCTTGATGTCCCTGATGAGGAGCTGGTTCTTGTCTGATCTCTGCTCACGCGCTGCCAACAGCTCGAGCAGCTCCTTGGGCCCTGGCAGGGCGAGCGGCTCCATCCCTGCATCCTTTGGGCTGTGCGGAGCATCCCCATCATTGACCCTTCTGCCCCCAGCGCTGTGCCAGGGTGCCCAGAGAAGCTGTGGCTGCCCCATCCCTGGCAGTGCTCAAGGCCAGGTTGGACACAGGGGCTTGGAGCTGCTCCAGTGGAAGGGGTCCCTGCCCATGGCATTGGATGAGCTTTAAGGCCCCTTCCAACCCAACCCATTCTCTTTGCTCTCCACTTGGGGACCTCCCCATGGCTTTGGGGGGGGGGGGGTGAGAGCAGGGAGCAGCCACAGCTTTAACCTGAGCTCAAGGTGCTCTGGGTGTTTTCTCTGTGCAGTTGCCCTGGGTGGGGTCCCCCCCGCACAGGGCTGTGGTTGATGCTGATGTTGTAACTTCCCCTTTCCCACTGGGGTAGGTAGAACCCTCTCTTGTTTTGCACAAGGAGCCTGCTCCCTGCCGGGCCATAGGCACGCATCTGGAGAGCTGCTGGACCTCAGCGGGCAGCGGGAGCCTCGGCCGGGTACCACTGGTGAGTGCATCCGGAGGATGGAAGCGCTGTGTTGGGAGCAGCATCCTCACATTGAGTTTTGCAGGCACGGGGTCAATGATGGACAGTGATGTTCAATCACAGCAAGGGGGAGCAGCTTTGTGCTTCCCTGTCCTGGATGGTGGGAAGCTCCTGACCTATTGCTGATGGGTGCTTGGAGAGGTGCTGGTGGAGGCTGCAGGGCTCTGACTGCTGGTTCCTATGGCCCTGGGCTGCCTGGACTTGCTGCATGGACAGGGCAGGATGTGGATGGATGTGTCCTGAGGGAGGCGCTGGGCCCACGGGGAGCCTGGGCAGGGATGTGCCTTGGGTACATCCCATGGGTGGTAAAGGGGTAGTTGCTCCCTGCCAGGCTCAGGGGTGAATTGAATGGCACCAAAGGCAGAGCTCTTGGTGCCTCTGGGTGCTCTCAGTGGCTTTGCTGAGCAGCCCAAGCCCAGGCAGATGTTTTCCCCTGACTCAAAGCGGTCCCTGACACATCATTTCACTCCTGTCCCACCTTCCCAAGCAGAGCAAAGCTGAGAACAGCCACAAACGATGATGTTAGGGACGATGTCAGTGCTGTGACTCGCATCAGGAAACTGCATTAAACAACAGGAAGCCCATGCTCATGCTTGGACTTACAAAACACCTCACCCTCCTCTCCCCTTCCCTTCCAGGGCTGCGGGCAGACAGGGCTCTGGCTCACATCTCCACGCTGTACAGAGCTGCTGGGCTCAGCCTGCTCCAGCCACAGCCCCTTCGTGCCTCTGCTCTGCTCCCAAGCCTTGGTCCATCCTGCATCCCGAGGCTCTGAGGATGGATCGTCCAGAGCTCTCCCTTCCCCTTGGCTCTGCTCAGTATCCTGAGCTCAGACTTGACAGGCAAAGCTCCTGCTTGGAGCTGGCTGCCCTGAGGAACGTGAACATCATCCTGCAGCACTACAACTTCACGGGCAAGCTGAGCAACAGGCAGGCCGGGGACGAGGGCACGGGGCTCATCCGCACAGCGTTCGCCATCATCAGCTGCATCATCATCCTGGAGAACCTGCTGGTGCTCTTGGCCATCCTGCGGTGCCTGCGAGCGCGCCGCTGGGTCTACTCCTGCATCGCCAGCATCACGCTGAGCGACCTGCTGGCCGGGGCTGCTTACCTGTGCAACCTCTGCCTCTCGGGCAGGAAAACCTTCCAGCTCTCCCCGCAGCTCTGGTTCCTGCGGGAGGGAACCCTCTTCACGGCGCTGGCCGCCTCCACCTTCAGCTTGCTGGTGACAGCCATCGAGCGCTACAGTGCCATGGTGAGGCCCATTGCTGAGAATGAAGCCAGCAAGACCCTGCGCTTACGTGGCCTCATAGTGGGATGCTGGCTCTTGGCTTTCATCATCGGGCTGCTCCCGCTGCTGGGATGGAACTGCCTCTGCCACTTGAGCGCCTGCTCCGTCCTCCTGCCTCTCTACTCCAAGAACTACATCCTTTTCTCTGTGGTCATGTTCAGCATCATCCTCCTGGGGATCCTCGGCCTCTACATCTCCATCTTCCAGCTGGTGCAGGCCAGCTCGAGGCAAACCAGCTCGAGGCACAGCCGCAAGCGGTCCCTGCGCTTGCTCAAGACCGTGCTGATGATCCTGGGGGCCTTCATCATCTGCTGGAGCCCCCTTTTTGTCCTGCTGCTCTTGGATGTCTTCTGCGAGCCCCGGAGCTGCGCCCACCTCCACAGCCTGGACTGGACCTTGGCTCTGGCCATGCTGAACTCAGGGGTGAACCCCATCATTTACTCCCTGCGTAGCGTGGAGGTTCGCCGCGCCGTGGGGAGCCTCCTGTGCTGCTGCTGCGTCCGCATCGGCCTTTGTGAGCCCGGGAGCTGTGTGGTGGTCACGGACATTAACTCGGGTTCATCCACCGAGAGCTCCCTGCGGTACCGGGAGAGCTTCCGCAGCGCCCGGCCCCGCGCTCCGCTCTCCAGTAACTCCAGTATGATGAGCAACCTGCCCAGCCTCTGAGGGCGAGCAGGAGGGTGCCCCACTGCCCACCAGGACCTGGCCCGATTGAGGCCAACACAGGCGGCTTGGGTTGATAGAGCGTGGCTCCATCCCTGTTGTTGGCTTTCAGCCTGGGATACGGCTCCGGTGGGGTGGGAGTGAAGGATGCGGGCACGTCCCTCTGCTGGGTTGGAACTGGACCCTGTTCTATGGATGATCCCTTTCCCCACACCAGTGTTTGCAGGAGTCACTGCAAGAGTCATCATCACAAAGGGACCGCGGTGGGGTGGGACTGAAGGATGCGGGCACATCCCTCTGCTGGGTTGGAACTGGACCCTGCTCTATGGATGATCCCTTTCCCCACACCAGTGTTTGCAGGAGTCACTGCAAGAGTCATCATCACCAAGGGACCGCGGTGGGGTGGGAATGAAGGATGCGGGCACATCCCTCTGCTGGGCTGGAACTGGACCCTGTTCTATGGATGATCCCTTTCCCCACACCAGTGTTTGCAGGAGTCACTGCAAGAGTCATCACCACCAAGGGTCCACGGTGGGGTGGGAGTGAAGGATGTGGGCACATCCCTCTGTTGGGTTGGAAGTGGACCCTGCTCTATGGATGGTCCCTTTCCCCACACCGGTGTTTGCAGGAGTCGCTGCAAGAGTCATCATCACCAAGGGACCACGGTGGGGTGGGAGTGAAGGATGCGGGCACATCCCTCTGCTGGGCTGGAAGTGGACCCTGTCCTATGGATGATCCCTTTCCCCACACCAGTGTTTGCAGGAGTCGCTGCAAGAGTCATCATCACCAAGGGACCGCGGTGGGGTGGGAGTGAAGGATGCGGGCACATCCCTCTGCTGGGTTGGAACTGGACCCTGTTCTATGGATGATGCCTTTCCCCACACCAGTGTTTGCAGCAGTCACTCCAAGAGTCATCATCACCAAGGGACCGCAGTGGGGTGGAGCAGCCGCAGGCTCCTCCAGGGGATGGAAGGGACTGATCCTGTCCCGTCCGGAGGAAGGGGTCGCACAGGAGATGTTCTGAGGGTCTCCACCTCCCGATGGGCTGGAAGAAGCAGAGGAGGCAGCTCAGGAGCCGCAGCTCAGCAGTCACACACAGATCCTCCCCCGGCCTCATGCCCCACTGATGCCTCTGCCCCTTCCATGTAGCACGGGAGATCCCGAGTTCCTGCAGCTCCATGGGGACCCGCTCCGGGGTGGCTTTGCCCCCGCTTGGAGCCCTTCGCTTTGAGGCCGGGGCTGGGAAGCTCCAAACCAGCCCCAGGGTCCGACGGAGCCCGGTTCGTGCCTCGCATTCCCCCTTCCCCATTCCCGCACCCGCCGCGCCGGGCAGCCCCCCGCTCTCCCCAATAAACGGAGCTGCTGGAACTGGAACAGCCGCGCCCGAGCCCTCATTCATGGCCTGGGGGGACCGGTACCGGCAGCGCCCTCCATGCCCAACCGGGGCGGCTGGGGGCAGCAACGGGGCTGTTACCGGGGTGGGGGGGGGGCCGGTGCTCGCCCGTCGGAGCGCCCCCTGCAGCGCTTACGAGAGCACGAACGGAGGCGCCTACAACTCCCAGCGTCCCTTGCGGCGGCGCCGCGAACTACATCTCCCAGCAGCCCGCGGGGCGGTGCGTGCCGTGCGTGGCCGGTGGAGCGGGGCCGCAGCGGCGGGGCCGGGGCCGGTGCCGTTGCCGCGGCGATGCTGGAGGAGGCGGGCGAGGTGCTGGAGTCGGTGCTGAAGGCCTCGTGCCTGCCGCTGAGCTTCCTGCTCTTCGTGCCCGCCGTGCTGCTGCTGCTGCTGGGCCCGCCGCCCGCCGCGGAGGCCGCGCACGAGTTCACCGTGTACCGCATGCAGCAGTACGAGCTGGGCGGGCAGCCCTACGGTGAGACACCGGGATCGGGCCTACGGGAGGGCGAACCCTCCCCCCCCCCTTTCGGTCCGTCCCTTCCTCCCTGCCTCCCTCCTTCCCCTTCAGCGATGGGGGGGACCCGCCGAGAGCCCCGAGCCCGGGGAGGGGCCCAGCGCAGGCCGCAAAGCCGCGGGCGGCCCGGGGAGGGCGGCCAAGCACAGGCCGCGGGGAAGGCGCAGCCGGGCCCCGTCGGGCAAAGCCCAGGCTCAGCGGGAGCAGGAGGGGACCCCGCAGGGTGACCCAGGGGTTGGCCGGGGCCTCCGCTGTGCCCTGGAGGCTCCTGCGTGTGGGGTTCACTCCGCAGCTCTCTGGCTTGGTGCTGAGCTCGTTTCTGTGCTGCCTTTGAGCCCTCAATGGCTCTTGGCTCTTCAGGCTTCAGCAGCACCTCCATTCGGGAGTCTGTCCTTCTACAGCTCCTCCCTTATGCTACCGGTGACCTCCAGCTCCTCCGTTCTGTTGCTGGTTGTGCAACACCTTCCTTACAGTCAAACCTGTTCCGTGAATCGTTGAAGTGCTGGAGCTCTCAGCCTCCTCCTCCTGCACTCGCTAACCCAGAGCCAAGCGGGGTTCCTGACTCTCCCGGAGGTACCTCCACGTTGTTGAGAGCCTCGCTGGGTCCCAGGCAGATGGGCTCGTGGGTCTCCTGCTGTCTCTTTGTGTGGTGGTAGATCATGGTTGAGAGAGCTGGGCTGGGGCAGCCTGGAGAAGAGAAGGCTCCTGAAGGGGAGACCTTAGAGCAGCTCCAGTGCCTAAAGGGGCTGCAGGAAACCTGGAGAGGGGCTGGGGACAAGGGCTTGTAGGGACAGGGCAAGGGGAATGGCTTGAACCTGCCCGAGGGGAGACTGAGCTGAGCTCTTAGGCAGAAGCTCTTCCCTGTGAGGGTGCTGAGGCGCTGGCACAGGGTGCCCAGAGAAGCTGTGGCTGCCCCATCCCTGGCAGTGCTCAAGGCCAGGTTGGACACAGGGGCTTGGAGCAAGCTGCTCCAGTGGAAGGGGTCCCTGCCCGTGGCACTGGATGAGCTTTAAGGTCCCTTCCAACTCGTTCTCTGGTTCTATTTATACAAGATGTCCTTGTGGTCTGCTCTTGGAGAGTGCTGGAGCTGCTGGATAGCCTCCAGGCTGCTGCTTTCCCAGAGGACTGCATTTTCATGTGGGGGATTTGATATGCTGGGACTGAGAGCAGGAGAGAGGGAGCAGTTTGAAGCAGGCTGCACAGAAACATCCTGGTGCCTGAGCCAGGACAGCCTGCGTGGCTGTGGTGGAGAGGAGCCTTGGGGAAGGCTGTGTAGTGCTGCAGGAAGGTGAGTTTGGCAGGACGTGGCTGCACGGGTGGATGCAAGGCAAACCCCCAGACCTCTGTCACTTCTTGGATGAAGTGGAAGGGGCACGCTTGGCTCTCTGCAGGTCCTGGCTGCTCAGAAGCTCATCACACTGGCCCTGAGAAAGGGCTGGGCTGGAATCTCTTAGCCAGGCTCTTGCTGCTGTCCTGCAGGCACCAGGAGCGCGGTGCTCAACACGGAGGCGCGCACGGTGGAGGCGGACGTGCTGAGCCGCCGCTGCGTCATGATGCGCCTGGTGGATTTCTCCTATGAGCAGTACCAGAAAGCTCTGCGCCAGTCCGCGGGTGCTGTGGTCATCATCCTGCCCCGAGCCATCTCCTCTGTCCCGCAGGATGTCGTCAGGGTAAAAACCAGCACGTTCCCTTTCTCTTCCCATGGGAGATGGAGTGGAGGTGGGGTGGGGGAGACGTTTGGGTTGCTGCAGGACTGAAAGCTCCTGGTTTAGTGCACGTGCTCTGATTTCAAGCTTGGCTTCCTCTGCTTTGGAGGTTCATTTTGCTCTGACCTCCTGCACCTTTAGCAGCTGCTGAGTCTCTGTCTCTTTTCAACCCTCAGCAATTCATGGAGATCGAGCCGGAGATGCTCGCGATGGAAACCATCGTGCCAGTCTATTTTGCAGTGGAAGATGAGGAGCTGCTGTCTATCTACGAGCAAACCCGGGCTGCTTCTGCCTCGCAGGGCTCTGCCTCAGCTGCAGAAGGTGAGTTCTAACAAGTGGGAAAGGTTCAGAGGAAGGACAGGCCTGGGCCCACCTCTGGGAGCAGTCTGTTGTGTCATGCACCATGAGCCAAGGGTCTGCTGCCTTCATGTTCTGTCTTTTTTAAAGCACTTTAAGGTTTAATGGAATTAAAACACAGTACAAGAGAGTATTAGAGTATTACCTGGCTGAGTTTAGAAATACAGCTGTGTGGAGCTTCACACTCTTGCAAGTGAGAGAGAAAGCAAAACTCAGGTTAAAACCAGCACTGAAGATGTTAAATGACTACAGTGTGGTGGGGTTTGGGAAGCTTTCTGTCTGCCCACAGGTCAGTTCAGTGCTTCCATGTATTCCCTTGTAAAGACCTTTTCTATCTTAGTGACCTGCTGCTTATGATGAACTTCAGGATTGCTGGAGAAAGGGGTTTGGTTTAGCCAGCTCAAAATGCTGGGATTTGAGGACAGAATGGAAGTGCTTGGTCACCAGGTTTCCATGTCAGTGCACAAGCAGCAAGTGAGAGGGCTTAGATGGTTTGAAGCTGGCCTCTCCAAAGCTCAAAACGATGGAAATAAGGGATGAAGCTTCCCCAGAGGCACATTTCTGTCTGGTTTGTTCTAGTCCTGCTGCACACAGCAACTGCCAATGGCTTCCAGATGGTGACCAGCGGGGCTCAGAGCAAAGCCATCAATGACTGGCTCATCCCCAGCGTGGAGGTGAGTTGTGGATGGGTTCAAACTGCAACACTGGTGGGATACCATCTTCTGCTGGGGCTTCATTTGGACTGGTAGAGGAAGTGAGGGGGGTTCTCAGCCAGAGAAGTATCTGAAGTCCTCGGAAGAGAGGCTGCTTCAGGCCCAGTGTGAGTGTAGAAGTCTTCGTACAGGGGACAGGAGGTGATGCTGGGTGACACTGACCTCTTTCCTCTGCAGGGAAGGCTGACAGGGCTGGGTGGAGAAGACCTGCCCACTGTTGTGATAGTTGCCCACTATGATTCTTTCGGAGTGGCTCCAGTGAGTATCTTTCCTTCTTGCAGCTCCTATATGGCCTCTACCCCTGTGGGTTTTCTTGGCCTTAAGGA